ATCGAAAGGCAGCGTCTGTGGTGGCTCTTTGTGGGTGTAGCTGTAGGTTTCATCAAAGGTAACTGGATGAGGAACGTGCCGGCGACAGAACCGCTCTGTATGGCTAGGCAGACGACAGTAGTAGCAGATGGGTCTGTTATCCGGTGTGCGCCAAGGATTGTTGGGAAGCGTTGAACGACGGTGGGAAAGGGGAACATGCGAACCTGCCGGAACGCGTGTTCCGTAGAAGGCGTTCATGTGGTGGGCAGAGTTGACGACGTTTGACGGCGCATGTGCCGGCCTTCGCGCGATGTCAGCGTAAGTCAGGGGAGCGGACACAGTCAGTGCCTGGTACGTGGGCGGGAGTGCCTCGCAGACTGGTTTGGCGCAGCGACGAGGTCAGCCCGTGAGTATTGCTGGGAAGCAAGGGCGCTAGAGACAACTGGCGAGCCACTTCCTTTCGGATGAATTGTTGAATTTGCGGCGTCAATACCGTCTGTTCTGGTGAAATTGCACCAACGGTCATTGGTGACGTGGTGGTCATGTCGAAAGTAGGGCGTCGCGTTGAAATGCACTGTCTTCGCAACTCATCGTAGTTTTGACAGTGCTGAATAACTTCCGCAACTGTTCGCGGGTCTTTCGCCACCAGCATGTGGAAGGCATCATCGTCGATGCCCTTCATAATATGTTGGCAGTTTCAGACATGTCGGCATTGTAGCGACGGCAGAAGCCCACAAATTCTTCGAGGTAGGACGTGAAACCCTCTCCAGACAGTTGGGCACGATCTTGCAAGCGCTGTTCTACGGGGAGCTTGTGCACTGTTGGTCGGCCAAACACGTCCGCGAAGTTGGTCTTGAAAGTGGCCTGTCGGTAAGCTCAGCTTTATGGTTGTTGAACCAGAGAATCGAACTGGCCCAACTTGCCATCTTGCTCCGCTACGCCTCTCAGGTAAAAGTGGACGCGGCCAAGTTTGTCGTTTTTGTCCCACCTATTATTGACGCTTACTCTCTCGTACGAAGACAACCAGTCCTCGACGTCCTGCTCATCGGTGCCGCTGAACATGACTGAGTCTCGCTCTTTCGGGACACCGGGACAGCGGTCAGGGGGAGATGTAGGAATGGTCTGCTGTGCAACGTCGGTGGACATCGTTGACGGCGAAGGTAGAGTTCGGTTGCGGAGTTCCAGGATGGGAAATGGATCCAGCACCTCCAGCACTTGTTAGTACGCCTTCAGCAGTGAGTCGAAGACACTTTCGTTGGGGGAAACGCAGAGCTAAAGCCAACCAGCTGTCAAGCGGAGCGAGCGCGAGCAGAAAAAACACTGTTCCTTCTCTTCTTTCACTGGCGCTCCTGCCTGTGCCATATATGAATGCTACAACCTTCAATACTTTTGCAATTTCCTTACAGCATGCGAATGTTGCAGCTGTGCTGGCAACTTGTGCGCGCCGTGTAAAGTTTTTCAGAGTGGGAGTGATAGTAGAGTGTGTTCTTTTTTTAGCTGCCTTTATTGGATAGTTTGTTGTACAAACAACAGCTGTATTGAGCCTTGAACGTAGGTGATTGAGCTGGCTACGTTTTTTGTTCTCCCTGCTGTCGTACTCCGCCACATGTATATGTTACGTCCCCGTGCACCTGTTTGTGGTCGCATTGTTTCACGGGACTCGCACATGCAGAGACGTGCGTCAGACCATTAGTAACATGGGCTTTTACCATGACGCATCGGTGCACCAATGAGTATCTTTCACTCAGCCGCACTTGCGCAGGAGTTGCGTACTGCCTACATGCCGGTGTTCACCGTTTACGCTAAGCTGCAGGAGCTCAAGCTGCCACGAGGCCAGAAATGGAGACCTGGAAGTGTTTTAAGCTGCAACAACTTGGCCCATGCCTGTAGCATTTACGTATTTAGGCATCACACACTACGCAGCAGTTAAGGCTGCGTTGTGTGTGGTGCTTGGTCTCTATATAGCCTATACACTCTAACACAGCGTCGCATTGAGTAATAAATAAATCCCGTGGAATCCAGCCCACAGTGCACATTGATGGCAGTGCGATCAATAATTAACGGTAAGCGTCTAACGTAGTTAGTCGACTTGTGAATGACTGTTGTTCAGCGCCGTACGCATTTTTCTTCAGTGTTGCGAGACGGAAGGTAGCGCAAGAATATAAATTGATTGATTGATATGCGGGTTTTAACATCCCAAAACCACTATATGATTATGAGAGACACCGTAGGGGAGTGCTCCGGAAATTCAGAACACCTGGAGTTCTTTAACATGCACCAAAATCTGAGCAGACGGCCCTACAACATTTCCGCCTCCATCGGAAATGCAGCGGCAGCCGCCGGGATTCGATCCCACGACTTGCGGGTCAGCAACCGAGTACCTCAGCCACTAGACCACCACGGCGGGGCGCAAGAATATAAAGCGATTAGCCTAAAGCTTGCTTTTCCATTCGTTGCAGGCATGCAGCTTCAAGTTAAAGGGGCTGGCTTTGTCAACGCTATGAAAAGAAAGGCTGTATTTTGGTAGTATTTCTGGCGCACAACAATAATCTATGTCAAGGGTTGGCAACCCACGACCAGCAGGCTACATAAGGCCCTCGGCATGACGTATGTATCCCCCCTCCTCTCAACCCATCAGTAACCGATGACCACCTTTAGGGCTTCCTACATCTGTCCGTGAAAAATTTTGATGGAAATATTTGCGAAATAAATACGAGTGTTCAGCACCTAAAGTCGGATTTAAATACCTTCCTTTTTTTTGCTGTCACGTGTAACCTCTTTTCACATCGTTTCCATTACAGTTTCGTAGAACATTCTTGTCTATTAGCCGAACTTTTTTCTCTTTGCCCGCAAAGCCCCCCTTCATTCTGATTGATCGTGCTGGCCAACGCTGTGTCGGCTTCATGCAACTCGACGCCTGACTGAAAAGGTTGCCGACCCTGATCTATGTCAAGTGTCTCTCTTTGCGTTATCGGTCCATGGCCTGAAACATCAGCATTACGAACGGCCCGTGCGCTGTTAGCGTGGCACAGCACACTTCTTTGGTGAGAGCGTGAAGCGTGAAGTTTTGAACAAAACCAACACAAGTGCGTAAGATCCTGTTTATTGTGTGATGGGAAAGAAAGAAAAAAAAGACGCCTTCCCAAACAGTGCAAACTGTCCGTCAAGTAAGCGCACGAAAAAGGAATGCTAACGGCGCAAATTGTTTTTTTTTTCAGTGAAGCAGTAACGCAACGTTACTGCACCACTGAAAGGAGTGGGGTGGATGAGTGATTCGTCGTCGCCGTCTGGGCGTTTATCACTGGACATTTTTTTTTTTACCTCCCTAAAAATACGAGATGACTCATTGGCTATGATTGTATAAGCCTGATGTAATTGTGACACGATTGATTGAACCTGCATGATGGGAGGTGAAAATGTATACAGTCGAATTCTTTTGAAGAGCGAACACGGAAGCGTGTGTCTTTCACAGCTCCCAGCGCTGCTTAGCGGTGGCCGCGAGAAGCATCACTCATGCGCAGTGCGGCCGGCCTGCCGAATTTTGCCGTCGCGCGCGCGCAAAAGTAGGGAAGCCGCTTGCTTCAAAGTGGCAACCATGTCGAACTTTCAATTACGTTCCACACGATTCACGAATAAACTTTAAAATATGTTATGTTTTGAAGAAAATTGTTCACTTGAGTTTTCGCCGACGCACATTTTGTGTTTTAGTATGACGTGGCGCCGGCTCACACTGCACAAGTTATGAACAGGCACATAGAAAATCGCCGGATCGCAGTGCTCTTCTAGCAAGCATGATCACTTGTGGAAATAAGTGAGAATACGTGCACATCCACCATCGTACGACTGCCCGTTTAAGCGGTGACTCAAGGTTCGCCAATAGTGGCAGAATCTTGATTGATATGTGGGGTTTAGCGTCCCATAACCATCATATGAGTATGAGAGACGCCGTAGTGGAGGGTCTGGAAATTTCGAACAGCTGGTGTTTTTTTATAGTGCCCCTAAATTTGAGCACACGGGCATATAGCATTTTCGCCTCCACCGAAAATACAACCGCTGCTGCGGATATTAGATTCCGCGACCTGTGGTTCAGCAGCCGAATATCTTAGCCACTAGACCACCGAGGCGGGGCCTGGCAGAATCTTCGAGCATTTCACAACATTGTTGTGGCGCTGTATTCCTCACTACATTCAGAATGGCAGCAGTGATTTTCGTTTTAAATGTGGTCATGTCAATAAACTAATGTAACATCGAGCAAAACTATTCCACATGACTGGTACAGCTTCCTTAAACGTATCAGTCTTTTATAAAACGCGCACTAAATAACAGTTCGGGTGCTGTGTTCCTTTGCCTGTTCGTTGTACGACTGCACCGATGTAGAAAGAAAAGACGAAAACGAAGTGACACGGCAGGCATAACAGACACGCCATTTGAACTGAAAGCACCGAAATTTTAGTTGCCGTTATAATACGATCCCCATGGATGCTGAAATGGAGCTAGCAGACGACACACAAGCACCACGGTAACGTGTTATGCGCGAAGGGAAGCTACCCGTCTCTCGCATGTGCGCAGATACTGTGACGTATTGGGTAACGACGCTAGCAGTAGCAAAAGCCTCGCTCTGCTGTGCTCACTCTCAAAAAGGCTGCGACTATAAGTCTCAATGAACTGGTCCCTAACCATTACGAAGTGTGGCCTACGAAACCCACTTGGGCTTCCGCAGTGGACCACACAGTCGTCAGCTGTGTTTAGGTATACGTGAGCTAACCGAGCCATTAACACGTGAAGAGTATAGCGCCCCTATTAAGTAGTAGTGGTGGTACTACGACAAGCGCACGGGGGTCGCTATCCCTTGTGCGATAACAAGCACTACTAAAGCAAACGCAACGAAAGCAAGCTGTCCGTTATCAAGCTGGCGTTCCTTCCTCTTGGGTTGCTTTATTTCATTTTGTTTTTGTGTTTTACCTTACTTCTCAGTGCTTATCGCATACTTTATCGAAGGGAGAAGAGAAACATGCTCTCTGGGGCGAGTTCATTTCATGTGTTGGTCGTAAAGACGCAGGACTCGGCACCTCTAGCGCGCCAACGCAGTCTCGCTCGCCTGCGCAGAATAATGGTGGGGCCGTACACTTCACGTCGGTCGCCCGTACTTTCCCTGGGTGGCGGAGCTAGTACAGACGATCCACTTGCCACCGCTGCAGCCATCGGTAAGCGCATTCCCCAAACTCATTGCTAAGAGAGGATTTCGCTAAATCATCTGCTCATGAAGCCGTATGCTTGGATGACTCTAATTGTAAAGCTGAGGTATCCATACAGTCATCCGTGCGTGGCTTCGTTCTTATCCGTGCGTGGTTTCGACTAGCATGAACTGAGGTCAGTGCCACCAAGCGTTGAAAATGATATGGGCACTCTAGATAGAGATAGACGTAGCACGCGTCGGGTTCCGTAGTAAATTTGTGTTTCCAGTCTGCCTGACCGGCGGGTCGAATTCGCTCACTTCAGATTCTGTTTTCGGCAGGTTTCGCTTGTGGCTACGTTATCGCGCACACCCATGGCGTTTGTTGTCGTATACTTATCTAGACAATGGACTATTTTTGCGTGTCACAGCTTACGCACCTTATGAGCTTAAATTCGCAGGTGCTGCTGAAGACGAATCGTATGTATGAAAAGCCGAGCAAATGTACGTTCATTACGTTTGTAAATTTTCAAAATAGATCTCAAATTCAGTGGTGTTGTTAGTCTTCTTATGTTCAATAATTTTCAGAGAGTGCAAGTTGAATGGTGTTCGGGGATCGAATCCCGGCTGCGGCGGCTGCATTTCCGATGGAGGCGGAAATGTTGTAGGCCCGTGTGCTCTGAATTGGGTGCACGTTAAAGGATCCCAGGTGGTCGAAAGTTCCGGAGTTCCCCACTACGGTTTCTCTCATAATCATATGGTGCTTTTGGGACGTTGAACGCCACATATCAATCATCATCACTTGAATGGTTCTAGCAATTTATAGTCTGCCTTTATGCTCAGTTCGCGCTGCACACATGATGCGATGTAGGAGAGCAACATTAGGGCGGGTAATAATATTTGGGGTTTAACGTTCCAGATGCAAGATTCATTTATAGAATGAGATGGCACTTCAAGCTTTTATGTGATAACTACGCACACAAATTGCTTTGTCTGCGTTGCATTCATGTGTCTTTCTTGCAGAAAACACGCACAAACATTGCGTTCCAAGACATGTTCTGTGCAGCGTGTATCGAACAGAAATGCACACTTGAAATTGTAAAAACAGTTCTAATCACGCTGTCTTAAAATTATTCAATCAGAACATGAACAATGCCACCGCATTTCAGATTTGCATTTTTGATGGAGGCAAGAATGCTGTAGGCCTGTGTGCTCAGGTTCGGGTGCACATTAAAAAATCACAGGTGGTCGATAGTTCCGGTGCCCTCCACTAAAGCAGCTCTCATAATCAGGTTATGCTTTTTTTAATGTTTAATTTCACATATCAATCCATTGCATTTCAGATTTATTTATTGTGCGACTTTTACAAACGCCATGAACGTGCGTTTGCTCTGCTTTTTATACATGTGATTCCTTGCTGGGAGGTGGTCGAAATTTCCGGAGCCCTCCCCTACGGCGTCTCTCATAATAATATGGTGCTTTTGGCATGTTAAGCCCCACGTATCAATCAATTCTTGCTGGGAATTCAAACTCGCGAGGTGCGTAAGCTGCCGCACGTAATGGTTCATTGTCGATGTAAGTATCGAACAACAAACGCCATGGGCGCATGCGATAACGTAGCCATGAACGGAACAAGGCGAAAGCGGCATGCGAAGTGAGTGCATTCGAACTACCGGTCCGGCAGACTGGAAACCGAAATTTACTAGTGAAACAGACGCACGTTACATCTATTGGTAACTGGTGCAGGTACAATATTTTCAACACTTGGCTCCACCTCCGTCCAAGTGAGTCGAAGCCACGCATCGGAGCGTTCGAGTTTACGGTTCTCACGGCTGGACGTGGCGTCTTCGACTTGTGCGACCGAGGAGGGTCCGTGACGTGCATATGTATTTTGACAGCGCGCCGATACTACGGCAAGGGGCACCGAGGACTTCAGCTCTTGAAACTATTAAATGCGCCGTTCGCAGCAGTTGTGAATGATTCTTTGGGGAGAAATGTTGGTTGGGAATTTTGCTGTCGTGGTCGTTTGTTTTCTGATATGTGGCTGCCAAAAAGTGTTTCTTTCTTCGTTCCATTTACATCTTGTAATGTTGTCTTTCTCACTCAAAAAAAAGCAATGCCTCAGGGAAGACAGCTGCAGCAATCAAAACAAGAATCAGATATTCGAAAAAATATGAAATATATACTAAAAGATGATACAGTGTCAAGGCACATACGATAACACCAAAGCATAGACCAAAAATGGCAACACCGATAGAATATCTTAGTGCGTCAGCCCTACCTTACCATCGCTTACTGTGCTTTACATTGATTAGTTAACTTCTACGGCATCTGCTAATGTTTAAAAACGCTAGCTCCTTATCGGACAAAGCGATTGATGGTTTTCTGACGCAAGCCCCGTGTTCCGCTATGTGTGCTGCTTCAATTATAAGCCTTGTGCGCTCATCTTTGTGCTTTTGGAGAACTACTGTCTTATCAAATTGTACTTCACAGCCACATCTAGTGACATGCTGGGCAAGATAACCATCATTGCCGCTACGAACATTGCACGCATGCTCACGCAACCTGTCGTTGAGGCATCTTCCAGTTTGCCCAATATAACAGGCACCGCACGAAAGTATGATCATGTAAACTACGTCACTAATGCAGTTGACAAAACGGTTCCTGTGCTTTGTTTTACACCGCTGTTCCCTGTGTCTAGCGCCACATGTCAGTGACTGACATGTGGCGCTAGACACAGGGAACAGATATTCGAGTCCCCGTCTGTTTACAAGTATCAGCGTGAAAGAGCGCGCGAAAACGTTTCTGCGCGTTCTTTCACGCTGAGATATGAACAGCCACCCATAACTTCAACTATGATAGCCTGCGCACGAACAAAGTTGCAGTTAAAAGAAGTCGCAAAAAATTACTTTTTGGGGAACTTGCTTGTTGTCACCCTTATTATTTAGTTTTTTCTTTAGAAATTAATTCTTTCATATGGTGAGAACAGAGAAACATTGCCTCTCACGCACGCTAGTAATAGATTTGGGCGATAGTATCCACTACCGCATCTACAGTCATTGTTGAAGACTATGGTTGTAGACACGCCAAAGACCTGACTTCAGCCGAAGAAAGGCGTAAAATTTCTTGGCGTAAAATATTTCAGTGTTTTTTTTTCACCGTAGCATTCAATAATAGAACAATCTGCCTCGTGCAGTGGTGTCGACTGATGATACAGAGCTAACAAGTATACTTGTGCTTGCATCTGGTACATATTGTGATGTGCTGAATTATTTATACTCTTGCAGTGATCACTCCTCGCGTCTTTATTATTGGTATGCTTATTTTTAGTCTGATAAGGTTTTGCTAATATTTTTGCAATAATATCTACTATGGTTTTCTTGGCTCTTCACACGTTTGGATTGCAATCTTTAATGGTGTTTTTTTCTCTGCCAATTCCCACTAGAAAAGATACTTCAGGCGATTGTAGCATCATAATAAACAAACCGAATAACAAATAAACAAAAGATAATAGAAACAGTGGCATGACGATGAAAAGGACCTACCAACTAAAGTATATGCTGTAGCGTACGCATGTAAGTAATCCATTTTCGAGTAAAATTAAGTTATAAACAGGATACGGAGTACCATTTATGACAACCGATGATGTTAGAAATGTCATACGAGATATGCCGCAAAAACGCGTGAATACGATGGAATAAAAGGAAATTTTGTGAACAATAGCGGAGAATTCAAGTTCAACAAGTTTGCCACTACTTCCATGCCATGTCCTAAGACTAATCGAATGTGCTGTTGACTGAAAAAAAACGCTAATGTTCTATTACTAGAAATGAACTAACACCTCAGAAAAAATGAAACGCATAAGAATACTTTCAGTATTCCCTAAAATAATCACTACGCGCTGTTCACATGTGCGGCGGCACCATGAGGGTCCAGTGCAGTATAGGTGAAAATCAAACAGGGGCTCGCCATCGACTTAAGCCAACGTCGTTGGACAGGCTGGTACTGAAGAAGCACGCACTGACGCTTCACAACATTTGCATCTTGTTCTTATTCTTTTTCACGTCAATTTCAGGCGTAGCTCACTGGCTAATTTTCTTAGTGGTGGTCCACGCCGAGAACTATTGACCATAGGTAATTTAAGCCGTTTTCTACCAAATCGTTCTGTTGTTCTCATACTGTCTGTAGTGCATCACGGGCTTATGTTACATGATTCACTGCAACAGGTTACGACATAGCGCATTGACTGCTCACCATTTCCGCCACCTTGAAGCCTTCGTTCGTGCTAGTTGGTGTACGCAACGCATGCCCCTTGCAAGAGAGGCATGGTTTGTGTGCACAGGAATATCGGCAGAATATGGGGAAACGGTATGTGTATTAAAATAAGCCATGTATTTTCTGCAGTTGGGCAGCATTAATAATTGCGAACAAAGCACTGGAATAATGAAAACGAGCTGTTTACGAACCAAAGGCTTCCCGGAAATATCAAGCAATGAACTGGGTGCGACCACATGTGATGCACAGTGTCCTTTTTGTCGCAGAGGTGCTGACCCGCGGTGGCAACGCAGCCGATGCGGCAGTGGCAGCTGCGGCCGCGCTCCAGGTGATCAAGCCGTACGCGACAGGCATCGGAGGTGACTGCTTCGCCCTCTTCTACGACGCCAACACGCGTACTGTGCGCTGCATCGACGGAAGGTGAGCGCAGGCCACGATATTTCTTACACAAGAACACTGCTCATGTACGGCAGCACTTGAAACATCTTGAAATGTTGCTCTGTATCATTTCGCGGGGCTGCCTATAAGCGCAACGCCCAGCGTTGCTAGCGCAATATTAACAAGTAACGAGCTCGTATGTTTATCCATCTTTTGTGCTCTTCAAGTGTCGTCCTTTTATACGGAGTCATGAAGGTTAATAGGGGTGTAGAAATATTTTCTTCTCCTTAACCTCCCATCGTTCTCGCGATTAGGCGTTCTGCTTATGGAAGTGTGTATCCCTATATAAGGAGGGGCCAAGCCTGTCTCCCATTCGTGGGACCCATGTAAAGTTATCTCCCTTAAAATAAAGTGGTCAATACTGGCCTGCTACAAAGCTAAAAGCACTCAAGACAGAGTTAAAATATCAACAAGGTCTAAGTTAACAGAAGTAGCCAAGAAATAATCGAAGTACACTTAAAACTGCAAAAATAAAAGCTCAGTAAACGAGCAGCTGGCTCCCGCACCACTCAAGGGAGCTCCTGACCAAAGAGTTTCCAACAATACTTACTAAAGGGAACTCTGGCACTAATGTCTAAGGGAGCTGCAACGCACGGCGCTTCAGCGAGCATGGGAATGATGGGTAGTACACACATTTGTCTAATATTCGTACTTCTGGCCTGCTTTTGGATCCGTGTGTGTTCGTGTAGCTTGGAGCTGTTTTCTTACGAAACAGGCATTATCAAATGTTCAGCGGTTACGCTTCCCCATTTTATTTTTTTAGACTTACTTTCCAAATTGGCTCACAAAGTTCAAAAGTTGAATCTTTCTTTCAAAACAAAACCGAAACACAGCAATAAACGAAGCCGCAAGTACGATTCGCTGCACGCAAGTAAGAAGACTAGGCAAATGTGTGTATACCTATCATTCTCATGGTCGCTGAACGATCGCAGCGCCAGAGTGCCCCCTAATTAATTTTGAGAAACTCTATGCTCCTGACCACCTCACCAAGCGCGCAATTGCTGCTCCCACCGGTGCTACTCCGGCGCCTTCGTCGCTGCACCCACGAAGTAAGGAAAGCAAGAGAGGCCCTGAATTTGTGTTTGTGAAGCCTCCACATCCGAATAAAACCCCTGTACATACGAAACATGTGCATCACCGCCTCCTATCGGAGACACAGCTAGAGATTGGCAATTTGCGTCGCTTCAATTGCAAGGGCATGCGCTCATCGACCGAGTCAAGAAACTTTCGCGGTCTTCTTTTTTTCGCTACGCAAGCGGCGCAGGTGATTCGCGCGTGCTGTTACTTCTGTCGTTTTTTGCGCGCGCGCGCGCGCGCGCGCGCGTGTGTGTGTGTGTGTGTGTGTGTGTGTGTGTGTGTGTGTGTGTGTGTGTGTGTGTGTGTGTGTGTGTGTGTGTGTGTGTGTGTGTGTGTGTGTGTGTGTGTGTGCGTGTGTGTGAGTGTGTGTGTGTGTGTGTGTGTGTGTGTGTGTGTGTGTGGTGTGTGTGTGTGTGTGTGTGTGTGTGTGTGTGTGTGTGTGTGTGTGTGTGTGTGTGTGTGTGTGTGTGTGTGTGTGTGTGTGTGTGTGTGTGTGTGTGTGTGTGTGTGTGTGTGTGTGTGTGTGTGTGTGTGTGTGTGTGTGTGTGTGTGTGTGTTAAACAAACACACAGAGAAATCATCTCGTGTGGTTAATGAGCATTCTCATTAACGAAGAGTGCTCATGCAGTGGTCCGAGCCCCGCAGCCCTGACCCGGGAGCGGTTTGCGGCAGGGGCTGACTCTGGCATGGAGGCTACAGTTCCTGGTGCCGTCAAGGGATGGTTCGACACCCTACGTCATTGCGGCAGCGGACGGGTACTCTGTTCTCTTTCACAGAGCGCGATATACTCTGAAGTTAAGGATAGCGCGGCACTGAATAAGGATAGCGCGGCACTGAATAGACGAGGAAGGGACAGAGAGAACACACACATGCTTGTGTGTGTTCCCTCTGTCACGTCTTTGTCGATTTAGTGCCACGCTTACCTTTATGAACATGCTATACAGCAAGAAAGACAACAAGCCACCCTTGCTAAGGATACGTTGCTATAACATGCATTGTTTGGTAAACGGATGCCTCTTTAGGCTACAGTTTACTTCCTCAAAACCACTCTCGCTGCACTGCTGCCGTAGTAGCTAAAATTTTAGGAGTTACCTTCAGGAATACAGATCTGCAAAAACTTCCTTCCCTGTTAATTGTAACCTCCCCACAGCATTATAGCAAGAATCAGTTGCTAGCAGCTCTAAGAGGAAGTGACTGAGTGTGGTACATATAAACGCCATTTCTGAAGTTATCATACACCATAAACTAGGAGTGATAACTTGGATTGGGTACGATAATCGTGTGGAAAGAGTTGTTCACTCGACCAGAGTACGCTGTCCTTTCATTTTTAAAGACGATAGTCTTTCTTAGGGACCTTTGACGGAAACATTTTGGTCTGTCTATCTCTCTGTACATTTGTCTGTTTGTCCGCCCTTAACGATACCCAAACGGCACCAAACGATACCCCAAAGCCGACCCCATCTGCAGCGCCCACCAATATTGCTCACGACTCATTGTTCATACTTGTGCGATTGTCCATAAAAAAACAATTATTGCTCATATATGAGACACCATAACAACAAGTTTATATTCTGTATGTGTGCCTTTTTACTAGAAATGGCATACATCGGTATTTATAAGGACCGTAGCGTTTATGACGCTGCGCTAACAAAGCAAAGCTTGCACAAAAATGCGTTTCCGACGCTTTGCTAAGACGACACGGTGGTGGCACTTACCCGTCGCCTTGCGTTCTACATTTTATCGCCTCTAAGACGGGCGCGCGTGCCGCGCGCTTTCTATCACAAGATAAATGCCAGATAGCACTCGTATATCAATCACGTGTGACGTGATTTCATGCGCTCGTTCGCCTCCGCTGCACGGTCGAGGCACTCTAACGCAGCGCCTACAGAATACCATTCGCCGTTTTTTTTTCTTGCGCAGAACATCAAATAAGCGTTTTGTTCTCTCTCTCCCCACGCAAGACTATCGTCTTTTGACGACATTTGCAGTGTATCATGCAGATCCGATGCCATTTTTTTTTTCACAGATTCGAGGCATATTTCGTTCTATTTATGCTCACTAATTTATGTATGCATAATTTTTACTATTCTTTTTGAACCATCAGTGAGTTATTTTTAAATTTCAGCGCATTTTTGGGCTACCAATACTCACATGACTATACTAAAACCCAGCATCGACATCATGGCCACACTCTACCCCCTTCATAATTATTATTTCTGTGGTCGCACGCACTTTGAAATGAGTAGATTCATCAACTATGAAAGTAAGTAAAGAAATCAAGCTGATTGACCCTTTTAAACTCTGGAGAAAGGTGGTTGGGTAAAAAGGGTAGATTGCAGCGCTTCTTGCGAAGTGCTTGTTGTCACTTTCAGGTTTCTCAAAAGGAGCCACTGGCTGTTATTAGCGAGCAATAAAGCCTGAACGATTTTGCCAGCGAAACGCAAACTTGGAAGCACTCAACTGCCTTATATTTGCGGGACGTCCAGAATGAGCGAGCCTTGTCGTCCCAACCATTGATCAAGTTCGCTTCGTGGTTGCGCAAGTTTTGTTCGCAATTAAAGCACCTGTAGCACAGGTACGTTATCAAATTCACAAGAACTAACACCGCTGCAATCACCGTCGTGAGCAGTGACGTCATGGTGCTCTTCAGCTAGTTGCACTCATCGAAGATTCGTAATTTCGCTCGTGCATTCTGTTGAATTCCATTGCTCCGCAATTATTGCCAAAGGCTGATTTTTGAAATTCTCAAAGAAACTACAGCAATTCCTCTTTGAATGAAAGCGATTCTCCCATTTGACTCTACTGTCTGTGTCCGCTGATTAAAACGTTAAATAAATTGTTGTATTTATTTATTGGCACAGTTGGTGTGTAGTGTCATCTGAAGATGTACCACACCACAGAAAAAGTAATTATGAAGGCGATGAGCAAATATTCCACCTGTCTTATTTTTGGTGGCTTTCGCACACACTTCTTGAGGCACCAAATGGAGGCGAAAATGATTGAGGCCCGTGTGCATAGCGAAGGTCACGTTGAAGAACCGCAGGTGGTCAATATTTCCGCAGCCCGCCACTCCGGCCTCTCTCAAATGATACTATTGTACGTGGACGTTAACCCCCAACATATATTATTTCTCAGAACACCCTCTACATATAATGATCAATAAGAAGTTGAACACTAAAACTTCTTTTTCAAAACTACTATAGCGAAGTTGGCAAATGCAAGAGTGTTTATGACACTAAAGCGGCAAGTCTTTGGTACCTGAATACGGCACAAAATCACTGTATTACAAGCAATCGTATAATAAACATGGATAAGGTGATGGAGTGAGTAAGCGCGACTTGACAGGGCTGTATAAATCACTGAAAAGAACACAGTGCTAGTTACAAGTGATATGGTGTAACAGGTCGTCTTGCTCGCGTTAGTGCGTATGGTGAGGGAAAAACCTCACCAGCCTTATAGCGGTGTCGCATGGGCATTTTTAATCGCGATCAGTGTAGATCCGGATTAGGTGCTACTACACGGTCTTTTTTAATCATAATCAGGCGCGATCGAGATCAAGACTATTGCGATCCGCGCATCGCAATCTGGCGGAGAGATCATGATTTTGCTGTCTTTCGCCTGCATCCTCTGGCTAAGCTTGTTGAGGGCACTATAAACAAGAAAATCGAGCATAGTACAATCAAAACACATTACAACAGATAGGTGTTTTTGAAAAAAACAAATTCTTAACTGTTTCAAACTGGAACAATATCTGAAAATTGCATATGTTAATATTCTTGTCGACCGCATGTAGTTATGAGAGAAGCAGACGACTGTAGTTTTCCGTGCGTAGTTCAACTCTCGCTCCGCCGGGGCAGTTTGAGCATCTCGAAGCGAACTGATTATGAGTGTCCCCAGTCTTTCTACTTCGTCGCAACGTACGCGCATTTCGTGGTCGAATAAATAGACATTCACGGTAATTGACTGCTAGCAGGACCGACGAGAAGACTTGATGCACCAGAACTGAAATTCTGGCGCGTATAGCCAGCTCGATGCTTCGCTGTGACCTTGACGGCTACGAGCGGGGGCCATCAAAAGTAAAAGAGAAGATTAAAACTCTCGCACAGCAATAGAGGCAAGTGCAAGAGAAACTCTATCGTATGATTGATTTGTTAAGTGATTCTTGTAGGGACACACAATGTTTTTTGCCGTTCGAGCAGTTGTTGCACGAATAACATCGCTGATAAAGCTCTATGGAAATATCGAACGCCAAGTGTTATCAGTGACATGTCTTACGGCACGCAAGTGCTCCCTGGTGCATTTAATATGAACCAAGCTCGAACCGGTTTAGCTTGAGCCGTGTAGCATAGGTCATATCGTTGATTATGATCAAGAAAACCGATATAAACGACCCAAATCACGAATGAAAGTGCCTGTGTGACACTGGTATTAAACAAATCATTCCTGAGGCAATGCTCTAAATATTGTTTCACCCTTCCTCTTGCTTAATTTCTATTTTACGACACCCTGTTTTCATTTTTTCTGACTGACTTGCCTGATGCCAATTTTAAAGAGACCTTGCCTGACTTCTTTTATATTGTTACGATTTGGCAGTACCGACCAGTGTTACATAAGCCGCCACAGGTGCTGCTCGGATTGACACTGACAACGGTGCGGTGGCCGTCGAGCCTGTTGATTCTTATCACGATCTCCTAGCATCACTCCAATGCAAAGAAACTAAACAGAGGTTGGACGCGCGTTCAGGTGTCCATGAGCGAGGTCCTGGCACCAGCTGTTCGTCTCGCTCGTGATGGTTTCCCGGTGGGCGTGGTGAACGCGGCCCAATGGGCCACCTACGAGTCCAAGTTGGGCTCCCTGGTTGGGGGAGGCCACTTTTTACCTGTGCCCCAGGCGGGACAACTGCTGCGCAACGAGCCACTCGCCGACGTCCTAGAGGTGAGCGTCTCGATGAGTGCGCACGAAGCCGCATCCTGCATAAGGTCGTGGGAACTGTCTCGGAGGCTCTTCACTTTTTTCTCGCCTCAACTACTCTGCGTGAATCCGGAGTGCTGGCACTCATAGGTGCATATTGCTGCTGCGCATTGGCACAAATGATTTCATCGAGAGAAGTCACAGCCAATCATATTTATCTGGGGCCAAATTGACGAAAACCCACGTACATAATTGCACTTGCCCAATGGACACCCAGCGTCACTAATGGTATGCGCCCCAGATTGTGATTGGCTGAACTTTCTTACGAAAACTTTTCGCCTAAGCCATTTTTGTGGACATGGGTTTTGATTTTAGCAGAAGTAAAGCAGCACTCTGAAAAACGTGAAATATACGTCGACACCGGAAGTACAGATCAACAAATTGCGGATGAAGATATTTCCATCGAACGCAAATTTTGAATTTACACCTTATACTGCTTGCGAAGAGCTTATATTACCGGGGTATTGGCCTTTCCGTGGCTAAAAGGCATCGTGACAGTATAGCAACCACCAAATATATAGCATAAGCTCGGTTGGAATTATCATGCACTGTGGCGTGAGCTTCACGTCGCGCTTTTTTCTCCTTAGTGCACGTCATGATATGCTGTGATTGTGGCATGGACAAATAAAATCGTGCAGTTACCAACGGTTAAGCAGGCATAGAAACGCGAAGCGATGCAGGGAAAGCTCTGAGCGTCAGGCCAGCCAACTTTATTTGATTTGGGAAGACTTCGCAATCAAATGAACGTGAAGCTTGAAAGAAAAAAAAGAAAGAAAACCCGCCATGGTGGTCTGGTTAAGGCGCTGGGCTGCTGACCCGCTGGTCGCGAAATCTAATCTCAGGCGCAGCAGCCGCATTTTCGATGGAGGTGAATATGCTTGAGGCCCTTGTGCTTAGACTTATGTGCACGTTAAAACCCCCCGGTAGTTTATCTTTCCGGAGCCCTTCACTACGGCGTCTCTCATGCTCATATGGTGGTTTGAGATGTTAAACCCCAGCTATCAATTGATGAAAGAAAACGAAAGATGCCTAGCTATAATATTCGAGTTGAGGTCTACCCGCACGAAGCGGGCAACTGGCGGAGAAAATGCAATAAGCCAAGTTATAATAACTTGTGTTTTTAAATCAACGCAACCACAATTTGTGCGCATAATTCTGCTGTTGTGAAGACGGAGTAAAAAGTAATAAACTAACAACAAACGCTATGCACGGTTTAGTAAACAATATATATGGATTCTGGAAAACTAACATGACAGGCGATTTTAAAAGAACCCCAGGGGATTGAACTTAGTCTGGAGTTCTTCACTGCGGCATGTCTCATAACTTTATTCTTAGCTTTTTATTGCTCATGCACTAGCACAGGGATCAATGCAAGTGCACTGATTCTATGCTAGTAAGTTTAGTACCTTATTTTCACCTCCGTATCTGTTGCTATGTTGGATCGGTTTTGTAACAAATAAGCGTGCCCTTTTTTATCAGGGTTTACTAAAAGTCATGTACTACGTTCCTAATCAGGTAGTTAGTAGGGAATATGACTATATGGGTACATTGTTGATAATTCATCTTGAAATACATGTGCCGACTAGTACTATATATGCATCGATCTCCAAGATATATGGGCTATAAGTACTTCTGGCGTCCCGTAGCAAGAAATCTCGCGCAGTTTAAACTTGTTACGTCTGTGTTCTCTTCTCATAGCTGACACTGTACACAAGATTACCCGAAATAGGGTCACAATCTGACCAGTATTTACAATGGGATAAAAGAATGGAATAAAACAAAGACAATAATAATGGTTAGTACGTCTTTCATAACAAACATCCTTTACCTACTTATGGTTGGTACTGGCTAAGATAGACGGTAGCAGTTACCAACTACTGTTAGTAAGGATTAGCGTAGTAATAGTTAGAAGTTCTTGCAGTTACTAACTGCCCTTACGAACGCGATAGTAACATATGAGACAAACGATAACTGTACCCGACGTTAACAATTACTTTTAAGAGTTACGGTGTGAATAAGAGTCACACCGTAGTTGTAGACTGTAGATTAATTTTGATCACCTGGGGTTCTTGAACGCGCAACTAAATATAACAATGTATCTACTCTCCATCTCCGTTTAGTCTTTAGTTTTAGCTGGCTCTACGTTTCGAGACCCATTAAGTCTCTTGTTCCGAGGGTGACTGTCAGGTCGGCTGTGCTTGGCAGCCATCATTTAGATGCGGCCACTGTGACCGTGAACCAAAACCGCCCCCTCGAGCATAGCAGCGTGCGACATCTTAAACCCGCTAAAATACAAGGTTGGTGCCTAAATTGTACCGAAATATATATGCAGCCGCGTAAAAAGCCAATTGTTTATTATTGCTGGAGCGTCAACCGCACACTTTTCCAGGCCCGGCAAAGTGATAGATAAGCGGGCAAACTGCTATCATCAGTGCAAGTGCCGCTTTAACATAACAGCAAGGGGCTTTACGCGCTCAAAGCATCGTATAAGGGGTTCTTGCTGTTTGCGATATTGTAGATATTATTGAGGTTCTATCGTTATATGTAAACCCGACAGTAAATAGTTTGTGCTGATAAGTTACCTCATTTTTTTCCCCTGTGGCCTTCAAGTGCCACGTGCTGTCCTAGTAACAATAAGGATGAAAGCACCACTGATGTCACAACTTAATGAAACGTGTGTTTGGGTTCGAACCATTTTTGTAACCAGCATGGGGCTCTTCGCAAACGTCTCCTTGGCACCGCCATGAACTTATACAGGGCGTCGCTAAATAGGCGTGGCTTTGCTAGAAATGTGGTGCCCAGGCTGTGACGCCATCCTCTGTATTCCCGCGCGCAGCCTATCATGACAGCGTTTTTGTTCTCCCGTTAAAAAGTCAATGGGCCTCGTGGGATATGTTTTTGCGCGTTTTGCGCCCGTTCCCTCCACGGCGCGCAGCACCAAGTTGTGCGTGGTGAACGCTTTTGCGAGAAAATGGGAATGCGAAATGAGCCCCGCTCACTGTCTTGCGTCTGCAGATCAATGACAAATGCTGATGAATATTTCGAGTGAAGTAGTTTACTTCGTGGCGGGGACTTGTGCGCCGCTAACCATGGACGTTTACTACGACAAAGAGGCCCTACACAGTGGCGCCAGTTTCTCGAAAATCTCGGTCTGTCGGAAATAAGACAACTCTCACGCTCTGGCAGAGCGTGTCTCTATACCTGGAATCAAAAGCGTAGCTGACGTAAGCTAGCCGTGATAGCTCCGAGGCTGTGACATTGCACTGCTAGCAAAAGGGTGCGGCATATACTTCTCGCCACGGCGGCCACATTTAAATGCTGGCGAAATGTCATACCAGCCGTTTACTCAGTTTTTGGCGTAGGTGACGCAGGGGGCCATAGCTATCCCAGAATCTTCCTGTATGGCAGACCTCATTACTATATCGCTGTTTGGGCGCATACAAACTAACAATTTTACTTTAAATTTGTAACAGCGGATACTCGCACTATATATAGTGTGATGTGCGCTTGTGCCAACTAACCCCAACGTGGCAATGGTTGTCGTCATGATCTCTCGTCGTTACGAATGACTGTTGTGAATGAAGCCGCCACTATTATAATATTGATATATTCTACTTTTTGAACAATAAATGTCAGTGGTTTTTATTTCGCAGTTTATTAGTAAGTCAAATAATTTTATCCCGGCTATTGTAAGGGTGAAAAGCAGCCGATCTTGTAAGGAAGCATAACCTGCACAGTTAAACTAGAGACAGAGCACGATGTGTATCAACAATCGTGAACTCCTTTTTTTTTTTCCATTTCGAAGTGCAAAACTTCTACGGTTCAGTAGGCATTGGAAGCACTCCTGAATATATTCGCACCTAACGCAGCGACTGGGCCAAGAAGGCCCGGATGCCTTCTATAAGGGTCCCGTGGCCGAAGCAGTAGCTGCGGCCGTTAAAAGTGCGGGAGGCGTCCTGGAAGCAGCTGATCTCCTCCGACACTTCGCCGAGGGTGGCGATGGCCTGGTCCTTCCTGTGAGCACGACGTATCGCGGTACCCGGGTGCACACGGTGCCGTTTCCCAGCCATGGCAGCGTGCTCCTCGAAGCACTCAACATACTCGAGCCGTTCGAGCTGCGCGGTATGGAGCAGGGCACGTACGCGCACCTTTTTGTCGAGGCTCTGCGACTGGCGTTCGCGGACGGACTCGCATGGGTGGCTCACGAGGGACCGGCGCGGGATGGCAGAATGGCTTCCAAGGAGCACGCCAAGAACCGCCGCGTGGACGTCGAGCGGTGAGTAACGGCTGCTATCAATAGCTACCGTTCTTTACTGCCGACTCGAAGGTCGCGAGACCGAATACTGGTCACGGCAGCCGCATTGTCGATGTAAACAAAAATGCTCCAGGCTCGTGTACTCATAGCTGAAGGTACATGTTTAAAAAACAATGAAGGTAAAAAATTCTGGAGTCCTCCACCGCAGCGCTCCTCATAATCATATCGTACGTTGTTTTGTAATAAAGATTTTGTCAAAAACAAGATATTTTCATTATGTTAAAGACATCTTAGTCGAAATCAAAAACAAATGCGAAAGGGCATTGTATGTAGATCGTATAGGAAAGGTGACCACTTGATTCCAGGAGAATGCAGGTGCGTGGAGTGCCGATTAAATTGTGAAGCTTGTATGAATAACATGACGCCGCAGCAGGCACAGGAGCGCGTTGATTGGCGAGACATATGTGAGAGGCAATGTGCTGCAGTGTGCGTAGTCAGCCTGATGGTGGCGATGATGTGCGTCGAAAAATAACCGGGAGACATATCACTTCTTTTCTTTATGAACATTCTATTCTGTCACTCGCTCATCATGGTGTAAGGTGAGGTTTTTCGACTATAACTCACCTTGTCGAAGCAGTTAATAAATGACTGAAGTCGAATTGATACATTGTTTTTGGACTTCACCAAGGCGTTCAATAAAATCTTCAAACAAAACTATAAAATAATGTTTGCGGAATACTAAAAAAATAATTAACTTTGTAATTGGCTGCAAGCACACCTGACATCTCGGTAGCAGTGTGTTGTGTACAATGAAATTTTTTTAAAATTTGTAGCAGTTGTATTAGGGGTTTCTTACGGTTCTGTACTGAAACCCTTGCTTTTCTTGCGTTTTATAAATGACATTTATTACAGTTTTATTTCAAGAGATCGATTGTATGCTGATGACTGCGTTTTATATTATATTGTTGATTAATAATATTGTGCTAAATTTACCCGTAAAAATAAAGCTTTTCGCGGATGATTCTGAACTATATTAGGAAATTCATAGTTACAACTAGTGACCAAGAATCTTTGAATGCTGCATTGGCAATGCTACAAACTTGGTGTGAAAAAAAATGGCAAATGATAATCAGTTATAAAGAAACAGTAGCAATGCGAGATATGCGTAAGAAACAACCACTTTTGTTTACCTATAACATCAATGGTCATGCGTTATCCAAAGTCACTAAACACAAATATTTAGGATTATTACTCACATCAGACTTCGTATAGAATGAACACATAGAATATGTTGAAAGGAAAGCAATGAAAACGCTTGGCTACTTGCGAAGAAGGCTTGCGAACGCCACACCACACATCAAACTTCTCGCATACAAAACCTTGATTAGACCAGTATTAGAATGTGGAGCTGCTGTGTGGGATCCCTTTACTCAGTCCAATATTAAAAGAAAGCTAGAAATGGTTCAAACGAAGTTTGTCCGATTTGTGTTTGATTGTTATAGTAGGCGCACATCACCTTCACTTTTTCTAAAAGCAAAGCTGAAAAAACTACAGAAGCGAAGAATGGAGAGGCTGAAGCTGTTTTACTTCATGTTTAACAACAAAATTGGAATCAATAAAACAGTGCACATTACACAAACAAGTGAAGGTGCTGTGCACTTATATCATTGAAAGAAAGTTTTATATTACGTAAACCACACAGACACATTCAAGTATTCCTTCTTTCAAAGAACTACCCGTGAGGGGAATTGCCTATCGCCCGGTACTGTAGAGTGTCCAACAGTTGATTTATTTCTACATGTTCTCAACAATCACTAACAAATTGTTTTTTTTGTATAGTCATTGCAGCCTATAATTAACATAGCTGGAATGTTTTCATTTGTTTTTCACAAATTGCTGCAAAAGTGTTGAACTGTATGTTTTTTTCTGCATTGTACATGATGTTGTGTGATGTTGATAATGTTTTTGCAGTAAATAGTTCTGTATGCTCATTCGTAACTAAGATTTGGTAAACAGGTTAGCAGCATGTAATAAATAAATAAATAAATAAATAAATAAATAAATAAATAAATAAATAAATAAATAATAAATAACTCCCATGATGACCAAGTAAATCTGAATGCTTACCTGAATCATATTTATTTATTTATTTATTTATTTATTTATTTATTTATTTATTTATTTACATTACCCTCAGGGCCCATAAAGGCATTAAAGAGGGGGTGGGTAATATAACGAAAATGCAGCAATAACAACACAATAATACAACCAATTAATTAGAATACATGTTCAAACAATATTCAGTTATTAGACCCTTAAGATATGATCGGTTAGTGCAGTCTTGAAGGATGACACGTCCTCAATGGAGGCGATGGAGGGGGGAAGTTGGTTCCACTCGGCACTGGTCTTTGGCAGAAAGGAGTCTGAAAAAACGTTAGTACAGCAGAAAGGAATAAAAACTTGATACTGATGATCAAGACGTGGCGATATGTATGAAGGTTGCGAGATGAGTTCCTGTTTAAGTGAATTATTTTGGTAAAGGATTTTGTGAAAAAGGCATAGACGAGAAATTTTTCTTCGAATTTGCAAATCAATCAGTCCAAGGTTTGATTTCATTAGTGAAACGCTAGATGTGCGGGTATAGTTTGAATTAATAAAACGTGCTGACCGATTTTGACCCGACTCAACGATTCCTGATAATGTTTTTTGACCGGGGTCCCACACAGGTGACGCATACTCAAGCTTAGGTCTAATTAGCGTTTTGTACAGCATTAATTTTAAATGGTAGGGGGCTTTACAAAAATTTTTGCATAGGTAGCCGAGAGATCTGTTGGAATTGTTAGTGATGTATTCGATGCGCGCATGCCAAGAATGATTATTGGTTAGCTGAATTCCGAGATATTTATATGAGGTTACGTAATCAAGATTGATGTTATTGACAGTATAGCCGAAAGAAGCGGATGAGCCAGAGCGACGTGAAAAAGACATGATTTTGCAGTTAATGGGATTTAGGAACATTAGCCATTGTGAGCACCACTTAGATATGTTATCTAGGTCTGACTGAAGAATAACGTTATCATGCTGATTTGTTATTTTACAATATAGAACACAATCGTTGGCAAAAAGTTTTATAGAGCTATTAATAACAGTAGGTAAGTCATTAATATAAATTAAAAATAGCAAAAAATAGCAATAGCAATAGCAAAAATACCATATACTGAAGTAATGCGATGCGTGGCAGATGTGTGTTAATTATGCTGAAAGTCTTCTATTGACCATTACAAATACAGAGTCTCCAATGATAATTCACTACACAGCAGACGGTAACTAGCTTTTACGTGCTTCCGAATTCAAGTACTTAGGTGTTCAAATCAGTCAAGATTTACGTTGAAGTTACCACACAAACCATATTGATAATATTGCCAAGGCTAAATTACATTATTTGAAGTAATTCTTCTACGGACATTAAACTTTGAGCATACAGGTCTCTTGTTTTACATCTGCTTGAATTGAAACCATGGTATGGAACCAATTTACCGCTGTTATAAATAAACGGGAAAGGGTGCAAAATAAAGCAGTCAGGTGTATCTTCAACCAGTATGGTAAAACATCTGTTACTGAACTGAAGGGTTGAGCAGGTTTATGGACACTGTCGGACCGAAATAGAACTGCATGCCTTCGTTTTATGTTTAGAGTTGTGAAAGGCAAACTAAAAAGCAACACTCATGAATACACCCCTCTTTCTTAAGGCTACGCCACAAGACACAGAAATCCGTTTACGTTACTTCCTTTTCAAACAAAAACAATATTTTCAAGTATTAAATTTTACTTTCGCATGGTTTTTGAGTGGAACGAGCTTGATGGTTGATGGGTTGGCAAGGACGACGTGGATAAGTTTAAGATGCTCATCGAAAATAGTGTCTGAAATATAGTTTTTCGCCGGGTACATTTTACTTTCTACTTTATCGTTATTTGTATATCATTGTTTTACGAGTCAAGTCTTTTTCAAAGTTTTCTTGTTTTCTCATAGGTATTTTGATATGGACTTGTGTTATTCCACCCTGCTACGGCCCCTACTTGGGGCTAACAGTGTTGTAAATAAATAAATAAATAAAATTTAAGCAAGCCCCGCCGCAGTGGTCTAGTGGCTAGGGTACTCGGTTGCTGACCGGCATAACGTGGGATCAAATCCCGGCTGTGGCGGCTGCATTTTCGATGGAGGCGAAAATGCTGTAGGCCCGTGTGCTCAGATTTGGGTGCACGTTAAAGAACCCCTGGGAGTCAAAATTTCCGGAGCCTTCCATTACTCATAAGCATATGGTTCTCATAAGCATATGGTTGTTTAGGAACGTTAAATCCCACATATCTATCTATCTATCTATCTAAAATTTAATTAACTTTATTCTTTCCTTGAACGTAAAGCACTATTTCTTCATACCTATAAGCAATAATAAAGTCCTTATTTGCACTTCAGTCAATATATTCATTTTCGATTCACTCTTTATTCACTTGTTTGCCTTTAATGTATGTTATCGTATTGTAGTTACGACCAGATTACAATTTTGAGGTATTTTGTTTGATCCTGATTGCGGCAGCCATACGTTATTACGTACAGTACAATAGATAAACGCTTAGTGAAATTTTACAGGTGCTTAATTCATGTAGTATCCTGTACACGGCGTGAAACATAATTATTCATGATGTTTGCGCTTAAGATATGCAGATTTTAGTCGTAAAGTGCATGCGCGGAACGGTCGGAAGAAGCATCGGATGCGTAGTGGCAAAAGAAGGCACGCAGAGAATGTGACGATAGTTGTTGCCAGACAGCGTCGCACAATGCAATTTTTATAATATACAAATGAATGGTACGTTACGCTTTGAAATAAAAAGCGTTTTTTATATGAGTTGGCACATGGTAAAAGCCAGTGGTTGTACGAGTGCTTGTACGAGTGAGATATGTTTTCTGTTGCACTGTATTCTGAATGGCAGTTAGAATACTGTCATCAGGATCCTCCCGTGAG